GGCTAAGGGCTGGGGGTGTGGGCGGCGCGGAAGAACCACGGCCCCTGGCCCGCTCAGTGCAGGTGCAGGGACAAGGACTGTAGTCACCTGCTGTCAGCAAAGGCGACGCCAGGTCGCACAGGGAAGGAGCCTTGCTAGGGTCACGGAGCTAGGAAGTGACGGACTGACCCTAGACTGGGGGGGGGGTGCCGCTGTTGTCAAGAAACCCAGACGAGGGACATCTAGGAGAGTAAATGAAAGGCTGCCGGAGGTCAGGGGGTGGCGAGAGGAGCACGGAACCCAGAGAAGACCTAGCATGGGGCAGAGAAAGGGCAACAGGAGCTACCCCCGGGTGCCCAGGGTCCACCTGTCGGTGGGGTCCCAGGTGGCGTGGGTCTGCCCTGAGCCAAAATGAGGCGTACACCAGCGACTTGAGATCATGGGCAGAGAGGGAGGGGTGACGGTCAGCGGCTGAGAGGCCGCACCAGGGGGGTGCAGGGGCTGCCTGAGTGGAAGACTTGCCCCTGTCTCCCAGGTAAGTGCAGAGGTGCGAGGGTGCGCCATCTTCCTGTTCGGGGATGTCATCCACAGTGGTGGCAAGAAGTTCCGGCAGGCGCTCAAGACCTTTGCCTTCCAGGCCCTGGTGCCCCTGCTCTTCCACCTGGCAGACTCCTGCCCTGAAGTGGTCATGGTGAGCAGCCCTGGCCTGGCTGTGGTGGCTGGGAGAGCCAGTGTGGGGAGAACCCATCTGCTGGTGGGGCTGGAGGACTCAGCCCTGTAGGCACCATCCTGGGCCCATTCAGACGGGAGAGGCCACACCTGGCCCTGCAGGTGAACAGGCAGATGGAGAAAAGGAAAGGACGCATCCCAGAGATGGTCCTGGCTTTTGGAGCTCCACTGAGCGTAGCCCCCTCCCCCCCACACAAAAGTAAGCCCAGCATTTAGGTCCCCCTGCTCCTTCCCTGGGCCAGGGGTGCACACCATGTCCTGCACAGGGGTACCTGCTTTCCCAGAGCCCCCTCCCCAGGAGTTCCCCACGTCCAGTTTCCACAAGGATCCACAGGGTAGCCCTGCAGTCCCGGATCTGTCACATGCTCTCTCTGCAGACCACTCCTGTAGCGCTAAGCTGTCTACCGTCATCTCTGAACAGCCTGGCCCAGGCTCCTTCCCCAAACGGTGCAGGCCCCTCCTCGGAGGCAGGGTGTCCCAAGCTGACTTCCTTGGATGCCCCTCTCTGCCTGTCGCTCAGCCTGTGTCCTTCCTAGCTTCAAGAAGGAGGCCTGGCAGCCAGGGTGACCACTGGCCTCTCCTGAAGCTTCATGTGAATTAGAGCAGGGCACCAGAGGGCACCACAGGGCTCAGGGAGTGGAGGTCCCTGGTGTGGTCCCTCCTCCTCTGGCGCCGTCTCCCCACCCCAGCAAGGTGCAGTTGTCCTTGGGTGTTATCCTTGCAGAATCCTCCCCTGAGGTCTGCTTGGGAGGAATGTGGTGAGGCAGAGACAGAGAACCCTGGGGTAACCCACCTGCTCTGCCTACAGAAGACCAAGCTCACCTTCCTGCGCTGTGCCATCTTGCTAAAGTGGGAATTCCGGAAGGAGCTGTTCAGCAAGTTGGCCTGGGGCCGAGGACTGGGTGCCGAGAATGATGTTTTTATCTACATGGTAAGGTGTGGGCACTCCCAGAGGTGGGAGGAGGAGATGGTTGTGCTGGTCACCCCAGCCCTCTGAGTGGGGTCCGTCAGCAGTGGAGAGTCTGTCCTGTGTGTTTCTGTTTAGTGTCCTTGGTCTCTGTCCACAGTGGAGCCCAGGTCCTCTCCAGTGGCTGGGGGGACACAGCTCTCACACCATGTACCGGAACTGTGTCCAGAGCCACTGTGGAGTGGCCCTAACGGTGTGATGGAGAAAGGGCCAAGGTTCTACCTGCAGGTGCAGCTGGGCCCAGGAGGGGTGCAGGAAACACTGCCCCTCTCATTTTCAGCTGCCAGTTCAATCTCTGACCCAGCCTCTCCTGTCCTCCCAGTGGCCTAGGCTGTCCAGATGACAGTTTCAGGGTATGGGGCAAGGCCGAGGTCACCAGAAGGCCTCCCTGATCTGGCTGGTTTGGGTCTGTGGGACCGGGAAGGCAGGAGGCATGCAGCTGTGTTGCCCCGCCCTCTCCTCCAGGGACGCAGGGCAGAGCCCTGGCCAGCGCCTGAGGGCAGCTGTGGGAGGAGGGAAGCCAGTTGCAGTTTTCTGAGGCTGCCCAGCCAGGCTGGTCTTGGCGCTACCAGCAGGCTGCATGTGGTGGGCGTGGACAGGTGGCGGTTGGTCTCCAGGCCCAGGATCAGACTCAAGGCCTTCCTGTCCCATGCCTCTCCCGTCCCGTGCCCCTCCTGTCCAGATCCCCTCCCGTCCCGTGCCCTCCTGTCCTGTGCCTTTCCTGGGCTACCTCATGGCAGGCCCAGAGCAAGCCCCTGCCCCCCATGGACCGAGATCTTCCAAATGGAGACCTCCTCCTCTGAAGTGTCTTGTCAGGGTTCTGATCACAGAGACAGACAGCGGCCAGCACAGAGGGCCTTGACCATGCCCTGTGTGCACCTTTTCTGCAGCTGTAGTCATTTTAGAAAGTGCTCAGCTGCCCCTGCTCAGCGGTCAGCTCTGCAGTGCCTGAGGAGTCCACCACCCGTCCTCTTGCTGATGTGGTGCTGTGCATCAGGGGGCCTCTGGGCATCCTGCAGCGGGGGTGTCTTCTGCTTGCTGAGCCCTGGGGTGACTTTCCCTCCTCCTCACCTTGGACTGTCCTAGGGAGGCTGTAGTCCACACGGTAGCTCCAGCCTGCCATGCCCCTGTTGGGCTGGAGGTGAGTTTCCGGCCTCTGCCTGTCCTTGGGGCTGGTCCTCCTTGTGGGCACTGAGCTCAGCCTCCGCATGGGCAGACGGCCTACTGCTTAGGGCAGCCAGTGCGTGGGCTCTGACCTCGGACCGATTCCAGTCCTGCCCTCAGGAAGCATTGTTCTTTTCAGCTTGCTTGAAGGATTTTAAGAGGGATTTATTGACAGTTTCTTTGATCTTGGAGCTGCATGGAGGGGCATCTGCATGACCATTTCTATTTTACTTAACACCCAGTGTGCTGATCTTATTCGTGAAATCCACCTTTTAAGCCTTAAAAGGCAACACTGCTAACCTTAACTTTGCCCATCAGGAGGTCAACCCATAAATTAAAACTTATCTAACTCAGTGAACTTCCTTGAATAGTCACGTACATGACGGACTCACGGACATGGCTCTAGGTACTTAATCAGAGACCTACATTTTAGCATAAGGTTCTTGTGTTTGCAGCCTGCGGGGGCTCAGCTCTGCTTCCCTCCTGCCACCTGAGGGTCGCAGGTGATCGCCCTTCACTCTCTGGCTGGTACTGCCATGGGGGCCTCAGACAGAAGAGGGCCACAGAGGCCAGGTGCCATCTGGGCCCAGCTTGGCCACCAGCCACTCCTCTTCCCCCAGATAGAGAGCAACTTTGGCAACTACCACCAGTTTTTCATGCAGGCCCTGACCTACCTGCACAGCCCCCACAGGAACCTGAAGCTGGCCGCCATGAGGTTCATCGGTAGGTGCCCGCCTGCACCCTGGCCGCCCCCTGCCGGAGCCTGCGGGTGGGTGCAGGGTGGTATCCAGTGACACTGCCCACCCCTGCCTGTCCCAGGGGGAATGCTGCAGGACTACTTTGCTGACCTCTGCTTCTACCTGAAGAAGGGTGACATAAAAACCCTCAAGAAAAGTGAGCCACACCCCATGCCCCAGGACTGGGCAGCACAGGGCCTCGGGTGGCCGACTGGGACCCCTGGGGACACAGCTTCAGAGTCAGACACAGGGTCTCTGCCACAGGCTTGAAGACCCTCAGGGAGGACCCGGACTCGATGTGCCGCAGGTTCTACCTGAACTTCATGGGAGACGTCATGGAACTGTCCCACTATGTGACCTGACCACAGGCCTCAGCCGCCACCAGGCTCGCCCCGTCCTGGTCCTTGTTGAGTTCTCTCTGTATTAAATGCTGACAGCAGGTTCGGGCCTCAGGCTTTGCAGGCCCCATGTCCCAGGCATTGCAGGTCCTGGGCTGGGCCAGACTGTCCCTCCACGGTCGCCACTGGGGACTGTGGAATGCAATGGCCTTGCCATGCCTGTCCTTCGGGGTGTGATGTGGGGGAGCATGAGCCCAGGACTGGGTCATCTGTGCCAGCCTTTTCCTCCCCTTGCCCGTCCTCAGCCCGCCTGCCCCCTCTCGCCACTCCCCAGCTCAGGCAGAGCTGTCTAGGTCCACTCCTGGTCCGTGTCCGTCATGCTAGCACCCACTGGTGCTGTAGCCGTTGCCCTCTCTGGTGGCCCAGCTGGGCCTCTGCGCCCCCACTCTTGCTGAGCCTGCACAGCCTTCAGGGACACCCCTCCCCACTGCTTGGCTGCTGTCTGCCCTGTGGCTCCCAGCGTGGACGCCCACTCCTCCCTCTGTAAGGCTCTGACCTTCCCCAAGCCAGGCACAGGGACACTGAGCAGTCCTGGCGCTTTGGGCTCCTCGTCACCGCCAGCCAGTGCAGTGACAGTGGTGGGGATGGGGCCCCAGGTGGGCTGCTGTCCTGGGGCGGCCTCGGCCCTCCAGAAGGATCTCAGACATTCGGGAGTCACCCAGGAGGGGAGTTCTTGGGAAAGGTAGTGCCCAGGCTCAACCTCGGAGGCACGAAAGGGAGGCTCAGGCTCCGGCCTGCCGGGGAGGCTGAGGACGTGCCCGGGCCCTGGGCCTGTGAGCCTGGGCCATGAGAAGCTCTTCTAGCAGCCCAGGGCAGAGGCCTGAGGCCACCTCGTCTCTGTTGGTCATGCCTGGATGGGCAGGGGCCTCTGGTGCCCAGCCAGTCCCTCCGCCCAGCCAAGTGCTAGTGACAGGGACACTGAGGGCAGGGGGAGTGGGAATGGGAGGACCATGCATCTGGCCCAGGGCAGTCAGCCGTGGCGACTGTCTGTGCAGAGGGAGCTGAGGCCGTGATGTGGTGTGGCCACTGGGGGCAGGGCGGGGGGGGACAGGCTGAGGGTGGGGTTGGCTGGAGAGTGTCCCTGTGGAGGAGGTTCAGAGGGATAAGAGGAAAGCGGGGGGCAGCATGGAGTTCAGGAGCCAAGAAGGACAGGACACTGCCTGGATGCCCGCGGGGCTGAGGTGAGGAAGGACCCGGTCTCTGCAGGGCACCTGGGTGTGCAGGGCGGGCAGAGCCAGGCAGGTTTCCAGCCTCAGCAGTGTGGGACCAGAGTTGAGCTCAGTCTTGAGGAAACTGCAATCAGTGGGCCCCCCCACCCCGTGACCTGGGGATTGAACCTGCCACTCTACCCCAGAGCCACTCCCCCGGTCCTGCTTATCTTATGCCATGCTGGCCCTGAATTGATGATCCTCCCGCTACAGCCTCCCGAGTGACCGGGAGCGCAGGCTTGTGCCACCGGAGCGTCATGAAGGCCCCCAAGCAGTGAGCTGACACCAGTGTGTCAAGGAAAAGTGACAGGAAAGTTCGGGGTCACCTGGGACTGCTGCTGAATTGGGGCTGCGGTTGGGACACGGGCCTCACCCCCTGAGGGAACTGTCCTGGCTCCCGGTGCCCAGGCGTGAGGACAGAAGCCCTGTGAGCAGCAAGGGCACCACGAGGGTTTTAGGCCCCAGGAGCCTCAGCTATGAAACGCTCGTTGGGAGACATTAAAGAAGCAAAAGATGGGACCAAGCAATGAGTAAAGGTGAGGAGCCTCCCATGACCATGCAGACACGGAGGGGAAGCAATGGCGTTCTGAGATGAGGAAAGGACGGTTGCCGAGTCTCCGTGGCTGAGTCGGGTAGCATGTCAGGTGCAGCTGGAGAGAAGGAACGGAAGCCAGGTGTGAAATTGCTAGAAATTCTCAAAAATTGGTGCAAGACTTGTGTCCACAGTTGTCGGGAGTACGACTCCCATCAAGTTGTATGCATGTTGTGGAGAACATGAAAGGATCCTGGGAACAGGGGAAGAGGCCCCTGCCCGTCCAGGCATGACCAACAGAGACAAGGTGGCAGGAGAGGGTAGAGTGGTGAGTACCACCCAGGACCGAACCCAGCAAGGTCACCTGCAAGCAGGAAGGCCAAATACGTTTTCAGATGCATCAAGGTGAGAATGTCCTGCCATGTGGGGTTCTGTGGATGTGCGGACCAATAGAAGAGCAAGGTGAGAAGCAGCCGTGGTCACCAAGAGCATTAGCACCAAGAATCATGGCCTCAAAATGCATCAAGCAACGACTGATAGGATCATACCAGGTTTTAAGACATGCTGAAAAGTCATGGTAGTGAACATAAAAAGAAGGAACAAAAGCAAACCACTATTTGGGCTTAAAAATAGACCAACAGAGTATCCGGCAGCTCAGAGGGACCTGGGCTATGGTAAAGACGGCAGAACAAACCACAGGCTCTCTACATGCAGAAAAAGGAAGTGGTGGCCCGTGCACGGCCACACCAAAGCTGGCACCAGGCCTAATGATACAAAGAACAGCTCCCCAGGCTGCTAGGACACGGGTGGTCCAGGACTTGGTAAGCATGAGTTAGATAAAGGGTGTCTTTGTTTACGTCAGAGTTAAGATGAAAACAGCACCGAGCGGAAGAAGGCGTCCCACTGGAGCCCAGAGCCGACAGCACCTCAGCTGGACTCCACTAATGAAGGACGTCGTAGGAAAAGTGGAAGTTAGGTGAGGCGTGAAGGTTCTGCAGAGAGAAGATGATGACCCAGACCATAGGTGATTTCCGCAGGCAAGCAGCGCCACCTGGGTCCAGAACAGAAGTGAGAACACAGAAGAGGGGCCCAGGCCCACAAGTGAACGGGAAGAAGCATCAGCCCTGATAATTAGCCCAATGCACGGGACAGAACGTGTCACCACACGCCTCTTGGGCCAGCAGGAATTAGCTGGTGGATGCCTGGTGTTGGTGACAGCCGGAGGACGTTGGGTCTCTGGTGCATCCTGTGAGAGATGTGCCGTGGAGGACGTGTGGAGAGCTGTCCGACACCATGGGGCCACATGAGGTCGCACATCCCTGATAAGCCAGAAGTCTCACCCGAGTCTGCAAAGAGAGCAGTTCTCATGCCGGTCCCAAGGCGGCCCACGAGAGAATGTACCTAGAGCCACATGCGTGAGGACAGCCTGAGTGGGTGGACAGGAGCTGCCCGCCACAGGAGCAGGCCGCAGAGTGGAGTGGGAGCAGCCCTTCCGACCTGGGGAGGAGGAAGTACAGACTCCACCTGCTTGGCCACAGCAGCTACCTGGCTTCCCGGCACGTGTGCGGGCAGGAGCTGGGGGCCTGGAGTCAGTCCCCCAGAGCAGGGCACTGGGGGATGTAATGCCTGGCCCGGGCACATCTGGCTTCCCCTGGTGCTTCTGGACCTAGGCTCCAAGACAGTTCCAGACGGTCGTCAGCCACAGGCAGGAAGCGCTTCTGGCCGAGAGGTGGGAGGGGCTCCTGCTTGTCAGGGACGACGGGGAGGGACCCTGTTGTCTTCTCCGTGTTTTCTCTCCTCTGCTCTTCGAGTCCTAGGAATCTGGGGTGCAGTCACCAGGCTGGGAGCTGAGCACAGGAGGGGGGTGCCCGTTGCCTTGGTGTTTCCTCGCCTGTCTTGGCCCCTGGCCTAGGAGACAGAATCAGCTACACAAGGTGCACAGCAGAACCAGGAAACTAAACCCCAGTTTCTAATTGGAATAGGGATTCCCCAAGAGCCAGAAAGCACTGGGGTGTCTCCCAGAGTGAGTGTGGGAAGCCACCAGAGGACGTCTATGGATCCAGGGCCTGCCCACCCTAGATCCCACCAAACAGCCCAGCAGGAGCCCTCAGAGTTGGCACCCCACACTCAGGCCTGGGGGTGCACGGCCCCGTCACACTGGAAACCAGAGTTAGGATCCCAGTTCAGAGAAAGGGGCTGGCAGTGCAAACCTGGTCAAGCTGACCGTCTGCAAAACCCAAGCATCGATTAACATTCTTCTTAGGATTCTAAGGGAACCCAGAGCCTCACAAGAAGATGTTCACAGTATCCAAGATGCAATCCAAAAGCATGCTGTGTAAGGAAAACCTGGGAAAATCTCAATAATCACAAGGGAAAAGACCATCAGACACTAAGAGGGGCACAGTGACATTGTCAGACTTTAAGGTCAGAGACCTTAGCCATAATCCAAGAACAATGGGGCAAGCGGGAAACGGGAGCATCTCAACAGAGAAGTAGAAGACAGAGAGTCCAACAGCAAAGCAAAGTGAGTACAAAGACTCACTAGAGTAGTCGTGAAAGAGACCCCTCCGATGCAGTCACCCGCTGCTTGGCAAAGGGCAAAGGCAGCACCAAGCAAGATGGCCTAAGGTCATCTGCAAAACCTACTCTAGCAAACCTTGACCCCGAATGGAAGGTGAAAACCCACAGAACTTCAAGAAGATAAAGGAGATTTGTCAGTTTTTACATACCTCATCAAAACAAAGAACAAGGTGAGAGTTGCACTTCTTCTTTAACAGTTGACAATGTTCCACAAAAGACACTGCCCAGAGGCGGGAGAGGCCAGCCAGGGACTGGAGATGGTGCCCGCCGAGCACCTCTCTGCTGACTGTGGTCCAAAACACGAAGGACTCTCAACAATAAGAAAACAACCCGATTAAAATACGGGCAAAAGAAGAGACAAAGACACACAGGTGGCAGGTAAGCAGGGGAGAAGGTGCCGCACCTCGTCATCAGGGAACTGGGATCCCAGAACCCCACGCGCCGGTGAACAGACCACCTGGCAGCACTGACCTGCCCAGGAGGGGGGCAGCAGGGAGGCTCGCCCTCTGCTGGCGGGAAAGAGCAGTGGCCAGCCCGTGGAGGCCCTCACAGACCCGCCTGCTCTCAGCCTCACCCAGCCCTCTCAGCCCAAGGCATTTATGCACACGAGGAGAAAACCTGTGTCCACCCGAAAACCTGGGTGCGGAGGGCCACACTGGGATAGCCCCAGATGTCTTTCTTCCAGTAACAGGTAAATCAATGGTGGTTTATCCGGACAGTGGAC